AGAAAATGACATCAGTTAATGAATAAAATTTCGTTTCAAACTCTTTTCTTTGAATTTTCAAGAATCTCTTATTTATAAAATGTTCAAGTTAGTCACAGTTATAGTTTATTCAAAGAAGATTAAATGTTGATCTATCCTTTATCAAATCTTATGTTATTTTTGTTTTTATTCTGTTTTCTTTTCAAATGATAGAATTGATGGTGATGTATTTCGTCCACCACAAAAAGATATACTTTTCTCTACTCTTGTTGGTAATGGTGTTCAAATTGCAATGACATTTTTAATCACATTAGGTAGATAGTTTTGTTTATTTTTAATTTTTTTCGAAATTTGTTTATTTAGTCTTCGCTGCACTTGATTTTCTTTCACCAGAAAAACCTGGTGCTTTATTGACTTGTAAGTATTTTATTCCATTCTTTTTCTTCTTGTCTATTTCATTTGAGTCATTAAGGTCTTATCCTATGTTATGTTCTTTTGGGCATTCCAGCTGGTTATACTTCAGCTCGTTTATATAAAAGTAGGAGACAATATTTATCATAAATGACTAATTCATCTTTCATAGTGTTTGGCGGTACAAATTGGCAGAAAATTGCTCTAACAACAGCTATTACATGTCCAAGGTAACATTTAAATTGTTTGATTTTTCTAAAAATAAATTATTGCTTTGTTTATTTCAGCTTAATTTTTGTCATTTTGTTTGTTTTGAATCTTGTTCTTTGGGAAAATGTTAGTTCAACAGCTATTCCATGTACTACATTTGTAGCATTACTTGCTCTTTGGTTCTGCATATCAACACCATTGGTGTTCATTGGAGCTTACCTTGGTTTCAAACGTCCAGTAAGAATAAAAAAAAATTTTTTTTTTATCCAATTTCTCTTAAAATTAAGGTTTATAAAAATCCTATTCCAATTAATCAAATTCCACGAGAAATACCTAAACAGCCGCTATACACTAAACCATTATTAAGTATCTTAGTGAGTGGTATTCTTCCATTTGGTTGTATTTTTATTCAACTGTTTTTCATCTTAAACAGTATTTGGTAAATATTTTTGTTTTTATTTTTTGATATTTATTAGATATATATATATATAAATGAATTTAGGGCTCATCAATATTATCATTATTTTGGATTTTTACTTATCGTATATATAATTCTTATAATTACATGTTCGGAAACAACAATTCTTCTTTGCTATTTTCATTTATGTACTGAGGTAAAATTTGATTTTATTTGTTTAAAAAAAAATTAAAAAAAACTTAAATTTTTGATTTTTTTAGGATTATAATTGGTGGTGGCGTTCATTTTTAACATCGGGTTCTACGGCTGTCTATTTCTTTCTCTATTCAGGTTATTATTTTGCGACTAAATTAAAAATATCTGATGGAATATCAACATTTCTTTATTTTGGTTACACATTAATGCTTACATTTATTTTATTTTTATTTACCGGTAAGTTAAATATTCTTGTATAATCTATTTAATTAAGTTTTATTTAGGTGCAATCGGTTTTCTTGCTTGTTTCTGGTTTGTTCGTAAAATCTATTCAGTTATCAAATGGGATTACGTGAAGCAAGTAGCGATCAATGATATATCTAATTATTTTAAATGAAGTTTGGTTGATAATGGATCAATTTAAAGACATCTAAACATTTCATATCCCTTTTATCCTTGAATCTGGATGATAAAATCATCTATCCCGACTAATTATTATATATTATATACGTCATGATTGATTTATAAATCTCTAATAATAAAATCTCTATTTTCGAGTACTCTTTAATCTCATCATACGACTTTTCCATATCTTTTATATGATCACCTCATCATTCTAATTGTGAATATCTAACTGATCTATCATTCTTGTTGTTGCGTATATCGGCATGAAACTATCTAAGTAAACTGTATAATTGTACGTGTGGATGTGCTTATATAAACTTTCATACTCGTCCATCTCGAACGACTGCTGAAACAGAAAAGAAGCAATAGTTAGATTTGTCTTTCATTGGAGACATATCCATCTCTAGCTTACATACTCATTCCATTGATAGGATATATACTGAACAAACATGGTGTATCTTCTACTCAAACCAATACATCAACATAAATTCCGTATTTGAGAGAGTACCAGAGGGTGTGGGTATGGGTATGATTAGAGAGAAGAGTAACTGTGACATTCACACCCACACCCTCTACAGCTCATATTGTGATAGAGATTCGAGGGGGGGGGGGAGGGAATACTTATGGCCAGTACTGTACCGTGAATCATATATGATGCACTGGACAGTCAATGTGTTAATGCGCCAGCAAAATTTATCAATACTAATTTAATTTTGAAATCTTTCGATAAAGAACAAATCGAACTAAAAACATCGTTTGTTGAATAAGTTCCTTTTAATTAAATAACAATACTTGATACTTATTATAAGAATATGCTTTTGTTTTTTGAACAACAATAATTAAGTATCTGCCAAATATCTATCTAACCATGAAGTTAAGTGTAAAACGTAAAAACAACCCATATCATCTTCATATTGTCTGATTAACATGAAGGTGAAGAACATTTTTTCCTTCCATATATTGAATCGCTTGATTAGTAGAGAAATGTTCCATTTCAAAGTTTCTTTAAGGTGTAAATTGGAATAACACTTTTTCAATAACATGTTCATTTAAAAATTGAGAAATAATTACGAAAGAATTTTTTTAAACATTTTCTACTTGATATTATGATATTATTGGTTTGAATCGAAGAAAATGAAAGAGATTTTACTCAATCGATCATGTGCATCATTTTATAGAAAATAGAACAGAACATATTCTGTTTGAATTAATAAATTGATCTCACAGCATGAATTAAAAACAAGTATTCAACGTTTAAGTCTTTTTTAGTCATTCGCGACTTTATTCCAAACTAAATCTTGATACTTCGTTATAGCAATCATTTTATATATGATAGTGATACATTTTTTTTCTTCCCATCACTATTGTAATTCTTTCTTACAAGTTTCAAAAGAAAGATGAAGCAATAAGAAGCTCTGTTCCAAAGATAATTAAAAATCTGTCTCCAGTGAAAAAACAAGATGAACAATTAGAAACCTTATATTTAGCTATACAATAGAGAAAAGAACGAAAGTTTGATGATCGATAGTTACGCAGAAAATTCAAAATGAAGTGCTTTAAGTAATCGAAAGAGAATTTATGCGAGCAATTAATCGTTGGAGAAAAAGGACAGGATGGTTTTGCTTGTTTTTCTTAAGGCAAAGATTATAAAAACATAATTTGTTGCTACAACTAGAAAAAATATCTTAGCGATTGAAAAACAATGTCATCGATGAAACATGAGAAAAAATGAGTGCCACTACGCTTCGAGTTAATGAAGAAAGACTCAATAGATAAAGAGTTTTGAGAAAAAACAGGCAATCATGCTAGATTATAATTTTATGAGTGAAAATGTTGTTTTTCCCTGTTTTAGACTTGTGGGAATGACTTCATCAGTAAGTGATACAAATTAAAGTCAAGATGAATATGATGTCGCTGAACAAAATACTTTAGTGATATGTTCGAGATTCTTGTTCGTAGAGTGAATGAAAGGATATCGAAAGAGAAAAATAAGTAATTTCACAATCAGTTTTCTTCATACGATATACATAATGCATTATCCTATTGCATTTTACATGTCGTATTGATCACTGATATTTTCATTGAGAAATTTGAAAACAATGTGATCGGAATCGTTGACCAACAAATTATTATTCGATTTATTCGAATATTTTACTAGACCTTAATTTCTTCGAAATTTGATTAGTTTCGAATTTTCTTTCATTCGCTATTTGCAAGCATTCAATTGTAATTGTCAATCAATTTTTCAAAATGACTTCCATAGAATATGCTAGCATTATCTTCCATTAATGATCAATCAAATCATATTTATTTGCTCCTCTTTCTAACATGACACTTCTGATCAAATAATATCGAACCATTGTTATAGCTATACAATACTTTGACTTTGTTTTCTTCGTGAATAACTAATTGTTGAAGTAAGAATGTGAAAAGTAAATTTGTCTAATACCTAAGCAACGGTAGTCATTGGTTCGATCAACCCGAATAAACTTTCCTTCATAATCTGATGAATCTTTTTTTGATTTGCAAAAAAAATAATGAAAATAGATATCAATCTAGAAGAAGGTTCTTTTTGAAAGAGAAAAGCACAAACACAACAACTAAAAATAATCAATCATGTAATAAATAGGATTTTTAATCATCGGTATATAATAGTTATCAAAGTTAGCTCTAATAAAAAAAAAAAAAAAAAACTTAATGTTCTCTAACTTGTAGAATTTGTAATCAACATGTCGTGAAGTTTTTCGTCGACATCTTCATAGATAAAATTGAGGAGATGAGTTTTTCGAAGAATAAACCCTCGTAAAGCCACTGGCCAAGATTTATGTGTTTCCCGAACGAAAATCAGATTCTTGTAGCTATTTAGAAATAAAATCATCTGTAACAAATGACTTTCCGTTTACAAAATATGATATTTTTCCTAGAGTTTAACCGATTTCATAGAAACACTGTTTTTCCATGTAACAAATAAAATATTTTTAGATTTCTATCATCGTGTATTATTGTAAATGAAGGTCAAAGTTAGAGTAACGCTTTTGCAATAAAAAATCATAGCTGTAAGTATGAGAACAGGGAGCATAAAACTACACTCAGACCCAAACCTTAGTACATCTCATGGACATGCCACATTATATCTATAGTATATACTTTTATCAACAATGTATTTTCTTTCTATTATTATGCATCAATATACTAACGAACTCAAAATGAAGTGGATTGGGCAATTTCGTCAAGTAAAAGTTTTATCTGTTTTTTTTTTCATCAATTGATATTAATGAACGTTTCTTATTGCATTCATCTAGTAAATGGTTCGATCTGATTTATTATCGGACTATGCTAACAAGTTATCCTATTTTACAACAATTTTCATGTCTGTAGATCATATTTTAGCTGCTCTTTCTACTAATAATTGTTTTTTTTATTTGAAAAATTCTAAATGCAACACATATTAGTAATGTGTAGAAGAACGAAAAGATAGTATGTATAAATAGATTAGTAACTAAAACAATTTTATGATGCCAACGACATTGTTCACAGACTAATCGATTCGTTAATTAAACTTTTTGATAACGCATTGATAATTTTTCGTATACGTTGAATGCCAGGATGGCTATTTGGTTTGTCTCTTTTGATATATTTGAAAGCTTGTCTGTAATATTTTCGGGCTGATCGTAGATTATTTTGATTCATATAAACTTCACCAATGTTTTCGAAAACGGCCCACATATTTGGAGCGTTGTCCTCATTGGCAATTACCTGTTTAGATATTTCTAAAGCTTTCACACAATGTTCATTACATTTTTCGGATTGGTCTAATTGGTGTTTTGAATAAACTAATGCTAATGTACTGTGTGATGCTGCTGTTTCTATACATATCAAAGGTAAGATTTTATCTCTAATTTCAAGTGATTTAATTGCATATTCAATAGCTTCATTGTACCTATATAATTTTATTAAACATAATGCTACATAATTAAATGCATCTGCCGTACCGTCATCCATTAAAGTTAAAACATATTTCTCAAAGGTTCTCAAAGATAGCTCCAGTAATGACAATGATTGTTCGTATTGAGCTTTTTCATAATAACAACATCCTATAATGTGATTACAGCGTGCTACATTTATCTCATCTCTGTTTAATGAAAGATCAATCCCTTTCTGTAGTATATTGATAGTTTCCTCCAACTGCCCGTGGTTAAATAAGATGTGACCGTAAATTTGGTAACAATTTGCAAGTTTGATTTTGTTTTCTGGATAATAGTGTTGGTAAATATCTGCCGCCTTTAATATGCAATTAATTGCGTTGGCATATTCATTTTTTTTCATATTACAATAACATGCACCCATATTCGCATAGCATAGTACATAGTTTTCTTGAGCAGTTGGTAAGTGTTTTTCTAAGATTTGTATAGCTTTTTGATAGTTTTCTATACCTTCTTCATATTTCCTTTGATTTGCATAACAAACTCCCATATTGAGATAATAGGAACCCAAACGCATGTCATTATCAGGTAACATATTCTTGGCTTTTTTCAAGCAATCAAGAGCAAGTTTATATTCTTTTTTATTAATATATGCGTTACTTAGATTGCTAAGGCATGATGATATCTCGTTTGTATAATCGCATGTAACATTTGTTTTCATTAAGTTTTCGTAGAAATCTAAACATTTTTTATAATATTCTACCGCTATATCGTAATCATTTGGATTAAAAGAAAGTCTACCAATACTGTTATGGCATTTTGCATAAAGCTCCATTATATTGAACTGATATTCTTCTTCATCCGACAAATGCTTTTCATATATTTCGATTGCCTCTTTGTAATGCTTTATTGCTTCATCAGACATAGATTTGTTTTCATAAGCAGCACCAATATTTTGATGACAAAATCCAATTGTAGCATGATCTTCTGGTAAAATTTCTAGTCGAATTTCTAATGATTTATTGGTAAATTCAAGTGCTTTATCAGGATTTGTAGCTACAAGTGTATATCCGAGATCATAATAACATTGTGTTTCTTTTTCTTTCTCTGTTAAATAACATGTCTTTTCGTCAATGCTTAATGCTTTCATTTTAAAATATAATATCTCATCATAATTATTTTGCTTTGTATAAATTTCAGCAATATTAGAATGACATCGTCTGTAACGTTCTGTTATATTGAACTGATATTCTTCTTCATCCAACAAATGCTTTTCATATATTTCGATTGACTCTTTGTAATGTTTTATTGCTTCATCAAACATAGATTTGTTCTGGTAAGCCCGACCAATGTCATGATGACAAAATCCAATTGTAGCATGATCTTCTGGTAAAATTTCTAGTCGAATTTCTAATGATTTATTGATAAATTCAAGTGCTTTGTCAGGAATGGTAGCTGCAAGTTGGCAACCAAGATCATAATAACATTGTCCTTCTTTTTTTTTCTCTGTTAAATGACATGTCTTTTTGTCAATAGTTAATGCTTTCATTTTGAAATTAAATGCACTATCATAATCATCTTGCTTTGTATAAATTTCAGCAATATTAGAATGACATCGTCTGTAACGTTCTGTTATATTGAACTGATATTCTTCTTCATCCAACAAATGCTTTTCATATATTTCGATTGACTCTTTGTAATGTTTTATTGCTTCATCAAACATAGATTTGTTCTGGTAAGCCCGACCAATGTCATGATGACAAAATCCAATTGTAGCATGATCTTCTGGTAAAATTTCTAGTCGAATTTCTAATGATTTATTGATAAATTCAAGTGCTTTATCAGGACTCGTAGCTACAAGTGCATATCCGAGATTATAATACCATTTTGCTTCTTTTTCTTTCTCTGTTAAATGACATGTCTTTTTGTCAGTAGTTAATGCTCTCGTTTTAAGATGAAGAACATCATCGTCTTTATTTTGATTCAAATAGATTGCAGCAAGAGTAGAAAGACACGAGTTGTAATTATCTCTATCAGAAGACTGAGATGAATCTGTGTCACACAGATGTTTTTCGTAAATTTCAATAGATGTTTTGAAAGTTTCAATTGCCCTTTCATCATGTTTTTTATTCATGTAAGATAATCCCAGCGTGTAATAGTTGTAGGCAAGTAAAAGGTTACCCTCGGGTGACATACGTCGAACTTTTTCCAGTGTGTCAGAAGCAAGTTTAGATTCTTCTTTTCTTACGTATACGTCACTCAATCCAATAAGACACGACGAAATATCATTTATATGATTACATTCAACATTTGTATTTCCATGTATTTCGTAGAAATCCAAACAATTTTTGTAATATTTTAAGCTTAAATCATAGTTAGATTTTATACTACAGCTTACTGCAATTATATGATAATAAAAACCTATAAAACAGTGTTCAAAGAAAGACGAATCACTTTCCATTATTTTTATTGCTTTCTCATAATCTTCTGTTGATGTACCATAATCATTTGTTAGCGAAATTTCCCCAATATTAGAGTGACATTGTGAATAACATTTTATCACATTGAATTGATACTGTTCCTCATCAAATAGATGCTTTTCATATATTTCGATTGCCTCTTTGTAATGCTTTATTGCTT